GGCCGCCCGCCCCGGTGTGCACGCGCGGGCCCGGGACGCGGGGCAGTAGGTGCCGGAGCGGGGCACCTAGCGCCGGCTTCCCAGCTCGAGCCGCGCGCGCCGGGGCGGCGAGGGTTAACGCGATCTTTCCATATTCATGGCATTGTTTTAAAGGTGCAAACCTGTGGCTCCGGGTCGGCGGTGACTGTCTCTTAGGATGCAGCGCGACCCCTTTTGCGTGTATTCCTCCATATCTTCCTGCCCCGCACCCCCAAGGCCCAGTCCCTCTTTCCGAAAACGTGAGTTTAGTTTGCCTTGAGCTTGGAACCTGAGTCCGCGTATCCCTTGCGTCCCGCCGCACTTGGAATTGCAGAAGGATCAGCACCTTGTTTTAAACTTTTTTCTCTTTTTAAAAAGTCTGGGAAAATAAAAATTCTAGAGGAAGTGAGTCCTCAGAATGCTCCTGCCCACCGTTGGCAGGGCTGGGGGTGGGGTGCAAATGGGAAGTGGAGGTAGAAAAAATAGCTGGATGTCCCTTGAGCTGGAGTTTTTTCCTCAGGTCGAGGCGAGGTGCTGACATATGCAAGGCATTTTTTGAGGACAGGACTGCTGGTTTTGCTCCAGTTCCGTCCATGTCGAAGTGCTGATACCGACTTTTCCCAAGCTAAAATGGCTTCAAAATTCCCATTTCTGTAACTTGCTTGCACGCCTGCCGGTGTTCAGGCAGGTTGGTTTCTTGGAATGGTTTTGGGAGATTTGTACCTGCACTGTACAGTTGTAGGTTTTACGCTGAAATCCTTGCTCATCCAAAACTTGTTTTTGGTAAGGATGGTTTGGATTACTGCCCAAACTTGGGCTTTGTGAAATTTATTTTAAATGAATGATGTACTTGCCGGGGAATGGAAGGCTCTATAAATGTGTATTATGTTCTTAATCATAAATTTTATAGGGGAAACTGACCCTAAAACTCGGGGTGCCTGTAATTCTATGCCCAATAAAGTATCAATCTGGTGGTCTGTAAACTCCAGGAGCACATGTTGGTATTTGCTTTTAGCCAGGAGGCTTCGCACTTTCAAAGGCTTGTTCTAGAAACTTCAGTGGCACCCAGTACCAATAGAGCTAGTGATACTTTTTGTGGGGTGTACTTTCTTAAGCTCTGCAGTGAAATGGTAGTGAGCAGAAGCATATTTTGTTCAGTGGTATGTGTACTGATTGGGCAGGATTCTGCTTTCTAGGAAATAGCTCTGCGTTAAAGCATCAGAGAACGTTTCAAGTGCTCTCTGGAAGAGTACAACTCTTACCCTGTTAAACAGCCATTCAAATTTTTCATGTTGTGCCCTTTAGCATGGACAGCCTCCTGTTAGTTTTGAGTTGCGTTCTGTACTTCTGACACAGACAGGGGTTTTTCTAAAATTAGAATTTATCCCTGTGAGGAATTTTGTCTAATGTATTTGCACGCATGTTCTGAATTTGTGTTAGGTGTTTTATTTTTCTTTGTGAGATAGCAAAAGACATCAAGAGGTTTTTCCATAGAAGTCAACTTTTGTAAGGAACTCCACTTTCTAAACTACTAGTGCCTAAAAAATACAATAACAACAACAACAACAACAAAACCTACTAGTGCTTCTAGGGTGGCAGATGAGGTGGCTACCAGAGCAGTTCTTAGCACCTCTGCCCTGGAAGAACCTTTGGGACTTAGACATCTTGGTCTAAGGTGTCACGACCAAGACTACAACCACACCCCAGATGTCAGGTCTTTCCTAGATATGTGCGGTAGTATAATCTCATTCTGGTTTGTGCATTTTAGTGCTGAACAAGGTATCATGTCCCCAAATTACTGTTTCCTTGTGGTCTTACTTTACCCCTTGACCCGTGTACTTTTCCTTATGCATTCACTGGTTATTGTGCATACTGGTCTGAACTCTTACAGTGTCTTTGTGTTTTGGTGATGCCTAGGTGGATACGAAGTAGAGAACCCAGCTGACGGTGAGAGAGGGAGGGGAGGGGCTGAATTGTGAGGAGTGTGGGCCCAGAACCATGTCTACGCGGGAAACCTTTAACCCGGAAAGTTATGAATTGGACAAAAGCTTCCGGCTAACCAGATTCACTGAACTAAAGGGCACGGGATGCAAAGTGCCTCAAGATGTCCTGCAGAAACTATTGGAATCCTTACAAGAGAACCACTTCCAAGAAGATGAGCAGTTTCTGGGAGCTGTTATGCCAAGACTTGGTATGTAAACTACTGTTTCCAGTATTCTGTAGGCCAGTCAGGGAGTCAGGAACCACACTTTTCTCCTCCTGTGTTGCTTTTACTTTTAAAGTTCTGTGGGAAAGATTCAAGGAATAATCCAGTGGTACTGTTATGATGTTGTAACTTACCTTCAGGAATACTTAGCATGGAGACTAGTGTTCTACAGTTTTTAAGCTGTGGAATATGCAGTGACATCATTATAGTACAGTAAAAGTAAATGCTTTTTAAAAAAACCTCAAATTGAATTCTCTGGTTAGCTAAGAGTCAAGCAGAAATTCTTTGTGGCTTTTCCCCAAGTGATCCCTGAAATTCTGTACCTTCTTCATCGCCTTAGGGTACATGATCTTTCCTGTGTGGTGTGCAGTGGTTGGAAAGCGGTGGCCTAGTGGGATGGAACAGGGTCCTGTGCAGTGTGCCCTAGCTGAAAAACTGAGGCAGGGCATCCAGGGCTGCTTCAGGCTCAGGAACAGAGGAGACTGGAAGCATCTGCTTGACCCTAGAGTGCTTTCTGAGTTTTACTTTACTAAATTCCCGGTGGTGGTAATGTTTTGTTTTGTGGTTTTTTTCCCCTCAAACACAGAGCTCAGAAAACAATTCGAGGTCCTAGAGTATTATTTCTTCATATTTGTTGTGTACCTTATTCAGTGCGTAACACAAGACTGAGCACTTTGCCTTTGTGTGTTTGAAGCACATGCTGCGGGTTTGGATGTATATTTTGTAGTTACTGGGTGACTTGCTTAGCTTTCTTTTTTATTTATTTATTTTATTGAGTTGCTTAACTTTCTTAAACATGCTTTTTATTTATTATTGTCCATTATTTTGTTGTAAACTCCTGTCTCACCACGTTGATTCTGAGCCTCACAGAAACAGAAATTCTGTGGATAAAACAATGGTTCTTGTTCATAGCTTTCTCTAGTTCGTCCTGCTGAGCACCTAGGCCTGCCCTCCTTCCTGTGTGTTTTGGTACAGACAGGATTGCTGTTTCCAGCAGTTCTCCAAGCTCTCTCATTTTGTGGAGTAGAGTTGAGGTTGGGAACCAGAGTCCACATTTTATTAGCTCCCTGCAGTCCCATGCTGCCAGTTGTTTGGTTTCTCAGATCACGTGTGTAGCATGTAGGAGGAAGAGCTGCTCTGGCCTTAATCTAGCAATGGCAGAAAGAACCACTGCCCAAGAGGCAGGGAGGAGGCAGGAAGAAGCAGATAGAAGAGCACAAAGGCCATTGACCTGATCTCATTTGACTTTGGAAGAGTAAATAAAACTGTAGGCCTTTCCTATAGAAGAAGCACTTCCCAGATTTGCATTCATGCAGTCCCCAGGGGCATGCAGACCCCAGGTGCCAAGCAGATGGTTGCTGAAAGAAGCCGAGTTGGAAGGAGTACAGAAGTGGCGCATCCTAGTGGCCAGACTGTGCCTTGAAGGCTAGGCTAGATTCCTGTCTGCCAGTCATGCACCAGTTGTTAATGTTATGTAGCATATTAGCGGCTCCCTGTTTACCAGTCTATAAAATAATTCTGTGTATCTGTACCCACATCTGTGAGATGTGTGTATAAAAATGTACATATGTGTATGTGTATATGTACACATATATGCATGTTTATCTGCTCCAAGTTTTTTTCCTAATTAAATATCATATTTCATGAATTCTAAGATGGTATTAATTGAAGCATGAACCAGAACAGCTTTTGAAGATACATACCCTTGCTGATGTATCCTAACTAAAGAGACGTTAGCACAACTGTATCTTAGAAACTGGAATGTCTGCTGTCTGGCCCTTAGGACCTATCAAGTATGGATCGCTGCTGGTGGCGGTACCTATGAGGAGTTGATGATTTTTCTTGATGGAGGGTTTCAGTTCTGAAAACCTAGAATTCCCTGTTACCTGCTGGTCATTGTAACGTAAAAGTCTCAGATTGGTGTTTTATAGCCCCTGTATAATTTAATTTGTTACCACTTGCCCTCTACCTGGACTTCCTTCTCCTTCAGTTTGAAACCCTAGTCTTTCAATGCCCATGGTCTGTCTGTCTCTGGCTTTACCTCTCTGGCTTAAAATTCAAGAGGTGGTTTTTATTTTGTATTTTCTTATAGGGTCACACTACACAGCTCAGACTCATAGTGATCCTTCTATTTTTAGCCTCCCCAGCACTGAGATTGCAGGCATGGGCCACCATGCCTGGACTTGGTGGCCATTTCAGTGCTCCGGGAGCTGGGGCCAGCACAGCCTGTGGTGCCAAGGATTATTGAACCCTGGTCCCTGTGCTTGCCTAAGCAGGCGCTTAGTCTGCTGAACTATCTCACTGGTCTTGACAGGTGATTTTTTTTAAACCAGTCACTGTAAACCAGTGCTCATCAATAGAAATACACAGATGATATAATTTCAGATTATTTCCTAGTAGTTACATTTAAAGAAATGGGGGCTGACCAGATAGCTCAGCAGTTTAAAGCACCTGCTTAGGTAGATGCAGGGCCCGGGCTTTAAACTGAGGCATGCTGAGATGGCAAATGAGACTGGGAGTGGTGTCAGCATGCCTGTAATCCCAGCGCTTGGGACGCTGAAAAACAGGAAGGATCACTGCAAGTTCAGTCTGTGTAGTGAGACCCTGTAGACCCTGTGCTAAATACATCAAAAAAGGAAAAAAGAAAATGAATCAGCCTGCTCTGGCAAACCCAGTCAGGTGCAGGAGACTGCAGCTTGATCCCCAGACCTGTCCTTAAGGCAGTGTGAGCCAGCCAAAAAAAAAAAAATCCTACTCAATTTTTAGGGCCAGCCAAACAGCTCAGTGGGTTAAAGTGTCTGCAAACAGGCACAGGGGCCAGTGGTTCGATACCCGGACCTGCCCTACTGGTCCCGCCCTCAGGGCACTCTGAGATAGTAGTTGAGACTGGGTTGGGTGTGGTGGCATGTGCCTGTAATCCCAGCTCTTGGGAGGCTGTAAACAGGTGAATCATTCCAAGTCCAGTCTAGTAGTGAGACCTTGAACACCTTGTAGACCCTTCCCTAAAATAAAAAAAAAGAAGAAAAAAAAAGATGGATCAGCTAAAGAAGACTATTTTATTTAACCCAAAGTATAAAATAATTCTTTTTAGCACGTAACGAAACATTACTGTGGTGTTGACTCTTTGTAATGTATAAAGTCTGGTGCCTGTTGGTTCTGAGGCTAAGGTATTCCTTTCCTCCCCAGTATGTAGAAGAGCTATTTTGGTTGGGTGGACGTACCTCACCTGCCTCAAACGTAAGGCGACATGCACGCTGTAATTGCGCACTGCAGTTTGGCTCGGCTCTCTTCAAGTGTTTAGTGTCCACACTTGGCTGGTGGTGACTCCTGTGGGGACGGGGCTGGCCCTCACCCTGGTGAAGGAGCCGTCGCAGTTGTGGAGCACTATGTGTAGACAATGGGGTTTTAGGCTTTAGAGTCTAGTTACTCAGATGAAGGAGTTCCCTAGGTGTAGGAATAAAGTTTACAGAGACTATAGAACTGTGTTTAAATTTAGGCTAACCCAAATTAGAAGCATTTGCAAGCTAACACTCAGGAATGTAGTCCTGCAGTTTTAAGTAGAAACCCAAAAGAAAGTGCAGGCCTCTTTTCCAGAATAAATAGTACTAGACACTCAGACTAGCCAGTTTGGAAATTGTGACTTCAGGGAGACTGAGTTGAAGTGTGGTTCTTACCCTGGGTACACTTACTTGTAAAGACACTATTGGGTAACATCTGTAAAAGCTTGTGCACACGCACTGTTGGGAGAAGTTAACATACTTGTCCTTCAGTTGAAAACGGGATGAGTCATATGTGTTCTACTGTCCCCAATTTATGAGACTTGTGAAGTTAATTGAATTGTGTTGCTTAGCTGGATTTTCTAAAAGTTTGTGCCTTGAGTCAGGCATGATGTACATACCTGTAATCCCTGCATTCTGGAAGCTGAGGCAGAAGGGCACAGATTTGAGCCCAGCCTGGGCAACATAGTGGCTTAGCAAGACCCTGTCACAAAATAAAAATAAAAAGGGGCGCAGGATATAGCTCAGTGTGAGGCCTAGGGTTCAAAGTTTCTGCTTTGTTAATTTTTTAAAAAAATCAACCTGTCTTTTTAGCCTGGCTTATTATTAAGCTTGATTTTCTTTTTGTATTACTAACAGTGGAACAGCCCTAGGAAGTAAAAGGGCCACAGTGACCAGCCACTGTTGGGGCTGTTGGCTGTTACAGTATGAGCTGGTGGTTCCCGACAATTTTGCATCTACAAAATGTGAAAGGTCCTTAATCCTGAATTTATAAGGTAGAGTCTGCTTGCTGCCTTTTGAACTTCATTCTAATATTTTTTTCCTTCCTTTGGCTGTTACAGAGTGAATCCACTTGGAAATGCCAGTCTGAATCTGTATTACAGATGATTTTCAAGGAAGTACAGCCTGCTGTAGTTATTAGTCTTGACAATGTCAAAACTAATTTTTAAAAAGGAATACCCTCACCCTACCCCCATACTGGGGATTGAGCCCAGGTTTTCACTGAGCTGCATGTGTGTACACATATATGTTTTGAGACAGGATCTCACCGAATTTGTCAGATTGGATTCAAATTTGTAATCCTCCTACCTCAGTCTTCCAGAATGATGGGATTACAGGCATGTAGCACCATACCTGGTGGGAATCTTTGAATTAGCTGATCAGTGACTCACACTATCTTTCTGTACATTTAAAAATAGTTTTTAGTAAATTAAAATGTTTCTTACAGTTTCGCTGAGTATTTTGTTTTTAATGAAGAGAAGATAAAAAGTTAAGGCCAGACCCTGGGGTTTTTTGTTTGTGTTTTGAGACACCACCTCTCTATGTTGTTCAGAATGGCCTGGAACTTACTGCGTAGCTGGTATTGGTCTCAATCATGGCAGTGTTCCTGCCTCAGCTTCTGGAGTTTGAGGATTATAAGTGTGTGCTGCCACACCCCTGTTACAGAGTTTAGTAAATGTGGTGTGTATAAGTTTCTCACTATGGTAATAACATCAAATTAAAAAAGTGCTTTAGAAATCTGCAAAGCAAATGGATCACATAGATGCTGGGGTGTTATATACCTGATTGGAAATTTTGAATTCCTGTTTTGGCTTTGCCTTTTCATTTTTGACCAAAATGCAAAAGTAACAGTACCGATGTTCTATATGTAAAGTATTGTGCAAATATTCTATTGGGAAAGTAGGATATCTAGAGATGTGTTCAAGGTAACTATAGATTAAATAACATGAGTATTTATACGAGTCTCATCTTCAGATAAAATTCTATATGGTACCAATCATGATAAAGTAAGGCACTAAAATAATACAAAAAATACAGGGAAAAAATAAGGCATTAAGATTTCAAAATTACATCGTATGGAAGTCTTGATGACTAACACATTTTTGTTCATATTTTCTGTGTTACTCTAGTTATGCATCACATTTATTTCAGTTATGCTCCTTGATAGGAAACACTTGGCTTCGTTGGCAGTGTGGCGTTTCCATAAGTGACTTAGACAGAAGGGCTCCTTCGAAGAGTGTTGGTTTTATAAAGTAAAATGGCTTTCTCTTCTCCTGTTATTTTTGGATGCTGATGGCTTCCATCTTCCCAGGCATTGGAATGGATACTTGCGTCATTCCTTTGAGGCACGGTGGTCTTTCCTTGGTTCAAACTACAGATTACATTTATCCTATTGTAGACGACCCTTACATGATGGTAAGTTGGACCCAATGTGTTTATATAACTAGAATTGCTTGCACATTTGTGTTACCTTCTGGTTGGGGCTTATATATCTCCATAATTTTTAGGTTTGTATTTTGCTATATCCAAATTACACTATGCAGGCGTTCCCATGGTCATAGCAATTTGATATGTTCCACTGTGCACACCTGGCACTCTAGAAAGCAAGAAGAATAGAGAGTTACTCTACTCCCTCTGTACCTGAATGTCCACCATGTATGAGGACACCTGTTGTTTTAGGAGAGTACTGTTGAACTCATATTGTTTTTTGCTTTTTTTCTCTTGTACCTTTCTTTGATATTTATAAACTTGACCTTTCCTACTAAAGGCTAGATATCTTTCTCTACTCCTTTTTAAGTGTTTCCTTCCAGGAATAAAAGGACCTAGCATCTCATCACAATTAGACTTTTTGAACATTTATTCTAATACACTGGTTAATACCCACTCAGCTGTCTGCTCATCACTTCCTACTAGTTGGTGCTGTGCACTGCTTAATGGTTTATTTCCTTGTTGGTCACTGTATGCTTGTGGCCTCCAACTCTTTAACCTACCCAGCTTTGGCCCTATTTGTCTGACAGCAGGGAGGAGTCAGTGAAGAGACAGAAATATGCCACTCGTTGCAAAATGCCAGAGGCCTCTCCTGTGTGGTGAGGACTCAGGTACATGCTGCACACATAGGAGCTAAGGCCACGCAGCAGCAAAATGGGGGTGTTCACCTCTTGAGTGCCCATAACAAGGGAACCGG